GGAAATGGTACATATTGTAAATTCCTTATAACCCTTTACCCTGAAATGAAATACCAGTGGTAATGTGGTATAATTGATAAAGGAAGGGTTTACAAGTAGATTCTAGCAGTTCATACCCACCTAGTCTTTCGGAGAAAGAATGGTTTCTGCAGGCAAACAGTGAATTCAAAGCATTTTAGTAGCTGCTAATGTTAATAGCAACTGTGTAGTGCAGTTCTATAGATGTTCACTGCCAAGTACTGAAAATCACTTCCAACTTTTATTTTTTCAGGGAAAAGCGTTTGGCTAAGAAGTATTATGACAAGTTGTTTAAAGAGTATTGCATTTCTGATCTTAGTAGATACAAGGAAAACAAGGTGAACATATAAAAGGAGTGTTAAAACATTAATCAAATGTTTAATAACTTGCCATGGCAAACATTGGCAGGGGTCTTTAGGTTCATGATTTATGTCAGTAGCAGAGGAGATGCTATCAGTAATGATTTAAAGTTTTTCTCTTACATTTTTTGGAAGCCCCCTTGATGTAATTGCATACCCAGATTTCTTGTGACCAAGTCTCTTCGATATAACCAAAGGCAGTCTAATGAACATGTACTGAAACCAGAAATACTGGATAAAAAGCCAAACTCACTTACATATCACTATTCATGTACTGCCAACCACTAATCACTAAAGGACACCACTGACACAAATTGCCAATTACAGATGGTATAGTGCACAGATGACAAAATAATGGTCACTTGAGAGAGCACTTCTAACCAGGAGATAAAGGTTTATTTTTGATTACAGTGAGATGGTAACATTGGAACGTTTTTTAAAAAAAGTCATCATTAGCAAATGATATACAATTTCTGTCCTGTGGCACCACAGTTTACATGACCTCCAACTGTTCACATATATTTTAGCTTTATGTCAACTGTACCCTGATGACTTAAAGGAAGCTTGCTTCAAAGCATGTTTGAATTGCTGATCAGTCATGAATGGCTGCCATTTTGAAAATTCATTTTGGGCATGCGCTCTTTCATTACCTGCCACTTTTCTGACAGGAAATCACAGAATGCAAGTTAAAGTCAAATGACCAGATCTTGCCTTTGGCCACAAGAGATCCAGAAATTAGATTACTTGACATTGTTCTTTTTAAAATTTTCCTGGCCCTCCTAGTGTAGTATCATCCAACAACAACAATGAAATGTCATGACCTCCCCTCACCCCTCCACTCCTGCCACTCAATCTTTTTTCAAATTGTTGCTATACAATGATCGACATTGCATGTCTTGAAAAAATTAAGGATTTAACTGATCGATCAGAACATTTGAAGAATAATTATTTACTATGGTACACTTGTACATCTATCAAATATGTTTGAGAAAATGTTCTTGTCAGTCAAATTATGACGGTGGTCTTCAATAATAATCGTTATAAATTATTATTAATAATTACCTCGTTGCAAATGACAGGTGGCATTAAGGTGGAGAATTGAAAAAGAAGTAATTGAAGGAAAAGGTATGATTATTTTTAGTTAATGGATCTTAATTTTGCAATCAGCCTACTTTGTAATACAATAGTTATGTGATGATATCAGTGGACAGTAGTGACATATCAATGAGTTAAATTATCAACCATGGTACTCCCCATCCACACCAACTCTCCTGGATTATTTGCAAGTCTCTTGGATACAGACTAAAAAACAATTGTCATGTTACATCCCTACCTCCCCATTATGGCCACCTCTCTACAGCAGCCGCCTCTCTACAATGGCTACTTTCCTCTATCCCCAAGGTAGCCATTGCAGAGAGATTCAACTGTACTTTTACATCAATAAAATCTATCCTTTTTAGGACAGTTCATGTGTGGTGATAAAAGATGTACAGAATCTGAGGGTCTTCGCAGCTGGGAGGCAAGTAGTATTATAATTTTGCTAATAACTCGGAATACAGTGAAACCTATATTAAGCAGACCCCATATTCAGCAGACACCCTCAATTAAGTGGACACCAGTTTGAGTCTCTGAATTTTCTTCCCACGTTTGCTGTAAAATAAACCTATATTCAGCAGACACCTCTGTTAAGCAGAGGTGGACACTGATATTAAGCCATTTTGTGACACAAAACCTCCAATAAGCGGATACTTCAAGGGCTTTTTACTTCTAAAAGATCAGCTCAGACTTCTTTAACATTGTTCACGGATGTCGTTTCAAAGCTAAGTAGATTATTCCAGATTAATGCATTGACTGACTGGACATTGTGCTATGAGCAGTCTTCGATCTTGCACTGCGTTACACTGTGTTATACTCTGTCACAAAAGGGTTAATATTTAACTATTATTGCCCAATAAATTAGAACCTGTTTAGAGCAGACACCCTGTATTAAGCAGACACTAGTGAGTTTCCCAAGGGTGTCCACTTAAATGCAGGTTTCACTGTATATCCATTTACTAGTCCTTTGATTTCTAAGTCTTAACAAACATGCTAGAAGTAATAATGCCAGAAATTCCCATCATATAAAAGTGCAGCTGATTTCAGATTCTCAAACTCTTAAATTTCTTTTCATCTTAATACTGGCTGTACTTTATATTTCAGTAACAAAGAATAGAAGTGCTTAATCTCTGGATTAAACTAATGGAAAATAATGGCAGTATCCAAACTGGAAATCTTACAACTAAGAAGCAACATTTCAATCTTTGATTAATATTCATTTGTTAATTATTTTGTATTTTGTTTTCAAGGTCAATTTTGCTTATGTGGAACATGGAGAAAAGAAAAATACTCTCATAAAACTAAGTATGTATGATAGGGATTTGTTCCCACTCTTACTTGTCTAACACTTTTTTTACAGTGAATAATAATAACCACATATTGCCACATTTTTTAATAACATGTTATATTTATGACATTATAACAATAACAATAACATTATATTACTGTAAGTGTTTTAAATTTATGAATGTTGATTACATGGCATTGCCATTAACTATATTTTACCAAATTCATCTTGACACAGGGCTCTGTCCAGACTGTTCCTATAAACTTAACTATCACCACAAGTAAGTCAACTGAACTAGTATTAGAGCTATACTCATCATTAGGAGAATTCTACTAGTATACTAATGCAAATGCTGCGATCCGATTGGCTGAGCTACTTGTATACTATCAGCCATTAGAATGCAGTAGCTGTCAGTTGTCCACGAAATGCAACGTTTTTATCATTTTTCCAAAGTTTTGGGATAAAGTTTAAATGTAAATGGATGATTAAATTCCTGATAAGACTAAAAGAAGTACAGAAATGGATTCTTCACTTTAAAAACTTGAATTATTGAAAAACTGGTGCGTGCACGTGAACAACTGCAAATTTACCAAGGACAATTCAGTATGTGTGATTTTGTTAAAGCGTAAAGTTCAATAATGCGTCGAAAAATATTTGGAAACCATTATTTGCGTTAATTTAAGTTAGAGTTCTACTTATTTAATAAACAATTAGATTATTCGATCTCGATTTCTATGAGGCGATATTTGATTCGGCCTTTGGCCTCATCAACTATCACCTCATAGAAATCTGGAGTTCATAATCTAATTGTTAATTAGAAGTCACCTCCCTTCCCATGTACAATTTGGATAACAAATTACAGCATGAAGTCTTTGCATGGTCATTGTGTGTTATTAAAAGTTCCAAATGAAATTGAACAGCGGAAGAGGGAGAAAGACAAGATTAAGCATGGAGTATGCTAACAATGTGACTAAGAGGCAACTTATTTTATTTGAAAAACTTTGCCATGTCTGCACGCACTTATGACAGTCTATATACGACACAAATAACACAAACCTACAACTTGTTGCTGATTGTTTTGTACAACACAAAAACTGTTGTTAGTAGGATTTTGAAACAACAAATAATTTTATCATTGCCTCGGAGATAAAATTTAAATAAATAGTCTAAATGAGGAAAGTATTCTTTTTCGTAGTGTCATAGGCCATTAAATATGCAACCACATGAAATTGGTCCAATCTGCATGCATTGCCTACCTGTAATGCTAGGTAACAGCTAGGTTAACAACACAATGTTAAGTTGTCATATCTGAGAATGTTAATGGATGTGCTATGGGTTAAGTGGCATCAGGATATTCCATTCATACATTAAAATATGTACAAAAATTAGTCGAGGTAGTCTACCATATCACTGTGTTTCTCACCTAACAGCTAGCAGGGAAGATTGTGTGAACAAGGTTACATACTGTATGGCAATTGTATCTAGCCATATCAACTCCCTTACCAAGTTCTTTGAATACAACTTTTAGGAAGAAACTTGCAAAACAGAAGAAAAAAGAAAAGAAAACATCAAAAAAGTCAAATTCATCAAAAAAGAAGCAGAAAAAGGAAAAGCATCACAGAAATAATGACAAGAACTCCTCAAGTTCTGCTGAAGATTCAGAAGATGATGACCATAACATTGAAGAGAGCAGTATGTATTTTTTTTGTTCTCACTAGTATGGATGGCTAATTTCTTGTTACCTTAGTTTGAACAAAAATTTGTCAGAGTTGTGATGATCTGCTTGTCAACAGAATGCTGCTCTTGAGATTAGGTACCCTGTGTGTCAGAGTCCTGAAGGGATTTCCATTTGACCCAAAATTCTGGAACCCTCAAAATGGGGCTGAATAGTTCCAAGTAATTTTTGCAAATGTGGACATACCTTGTAAGTTCCTCTTCTTTTCCAGAAATTTCAGAAAATGGTGTTCCATGATTCTCACCACTAGGAATGACCAAAAATTCAAACCTACATTTTTTGATTTCAAGCTCTCCTGTTTTCTTTGCACAGTTTCCTACCTTAGGCAAATGCTATTTCAAGCCTCTAGATACAATATTTGCCTCTTGTTGAGTTGGGTGAGGTTGATCCTGACCCCCACATCCATGTAAAAAAAAAATTGGAATTTTTCACCCTTTAAAGCTGTCACACTCATTTTTGCTCCAAATGACAACTACAGCTGTAATTGAAGGTAGTATGTGATTGCTAAGCAAAAAACATTGCAGATGCTGCAGCGAGTGGATCATCCAAAAGTGTTGACCACAGTAAGTCTACGTGCTCAGGAGAAGATATCTGGAAAGGCCCTGCAAAGGTTACTGTTGACAAAACAAGGTACATGCACTGCTCAAGTACAAAACACCTCTTGTTAAGGAAGTNCACAGAAGTAATGACAACAACTCCTCAAGTTCTGCTGAAGATTCAGAAGATAATGACCATAACATTGAAGAGAGCAGTATGTATTTTTTTTTTGTTCTCACTAGTATGGATGGTTAATTTCTTGTTACCTTAGTTTGAACAAAAATTTGTCCGAGTTGTGATGATCTGCTTGTCAACAGAATGCTGCTCTTGAGATTGGGTACCCTGTGTGTCAGAGTCCTGAAGAGATTTCCATTTGACCCAAAATTCTGGAACCCTCAAAATGGGGCTGAATAGTTCCAAGTAATTTTTGCAAATGTGGACATAGCTTGCAAGTTCGTCTTCTTTTCCAGAAATTTCAGAAAATGGTGTTCTATCGATCTCACCACTGGGAATGACCAAAACTTCAAACCTGCATTTTTTGATTTCAAGCTCTCCTGTTTTCTTTGCACAGTTTCCTACCTTGGGCGAATGCTATTTCAAGTCTCTAGATGGAATATTTGCCTCCTGTTGAGTTGGGTGAGGTTGATCCTGACCCCCACATCCATGTAAAAAATAAAAAAAACTTGGATTTTTTCACCTTTTAAAGCTGTCACACTCATTTTTGCTCCAAATGACAACTACAGCTGTAATTGAAGGTAATATGTGATTGCTAAGCAAAAAACATTGCAGATGCTGCAACCAGTGGATCATCCAAAGGTGTTGACCACAGTAAGTCTTCGTGCTCAGGAGAAGATATCTGGAAAGGCCCTGCAAAGGTTACTGTTGACAAAACAAGGTACATGCACTGCTCAAGCACAAAACACCTCTTGTTAAGGAAGTGTGACACTGTATGTCATGTGTTTCAATTTACTTTTTGCTACATTTGTGACTAGCCAGGGAAAACTTGCCTTGGCTAATATACTGCCCAGAGGTAACCTGTAGTGGCAGGTTTGGGCCAGTATGCTCCTGATGACTTTACCTCAAAGCTGTGGTAATCATGACACCCTATCAGATTGTAGAGTTACCCTTGGCTGGGGCTCTTGTCCTATGTCAGTGTCTCTCTTTCAATTCCCTGGGTGTGTAAAGAAATTGTTCAGAAAACTTAACAAAAATCTTGAGGAAAGCTGAACAGGCATGGATTCCTCTAGAGGAATCAGGCAATAATGCAGATGTAGCTGATTCATGCTATGGAAACCAGAGTAAACCACTGGTCGTATGGGCCACTAGACGGCCCACTAGACAATACTGATTTGCAAAAGTATCTAAAGCTCTGCATATTGATTTGGTATAAATTTATACAATGTATATGGACAAGCTGATCGCACCTGCACAAAGTTTTTCATACATGCATTTGTGGTCCTTAGGGAGAGGGGGAATTCAGAGCCAACTTAATATTTTGAAAATTTAAAAGGGCCTCTGAGCTTCCCTAGAGATTGTTTTCTAACTTTGCAAAAAGTTGTATCTTGACTTGTATCTATGCCTATAGCCTGCGAATGCAGACGTATTTCCAGTTGTCACTTGTCTCCACTGAAAAATAACGTCTGCGAACCCGAACCAGGAAACGATCTCTGTGACGTAATGACAAAAAAATAACTCAAAAACGGGAATTTTTAGCAGAGATTTTCTTTGAAGGTTTCTGGTATGGAACCTCTTCAAATATTCCTAAGACTCCATGGCAGTAAGTTAAACCACAAATTAATTAGATTAGACTTTGAGGCAACACAGTGGGTCTTTCATTTTGAAAGAGATTTCTTGGGTGGTTCAAAGAGCTTTTTCTGTAACTGACTTTTATAAACTCTCAGGCATTGGGAAGGGTAATAATGACAAGGAAACATCACAAACTCTGCAGATTTCATGGTATCTGATAAAATTTAAACAGTTTTTTATGTGTCTGGTTGTTTCAAGTCTCAAGTTAGGTAACGCTGTTTGCCATCTATAATGTCTCCTCGTTTATATGGGTTTTGATATCGATATTAATTTGAAGTGGTTTTGTGGAATGTCAAAATCAAAAAACCTATGATCATTGCTGGCAACAAAATAAGACCATGCTAAATTGATTCTTTTGTTTTCCTCGTACAGGTATACAACACGATACCCTTGTTTTCTCGAGAACATAGGGGCATTGTCCTTTTTCTTCATTGCTGGAGGTAACTGGCATAAAATTAAATATCTGGTGAAAAATGGAAGAAGAACAATCTTTTTCTCAAAATGCTATAATTTATCATTTCACGGATTAACAAAAACTAATCTAACTATCGGATAGTCACGTCTGACATGTCGAATCACGGAAAAGTGCGTTCTTATTCTGTTGCCACCTTTGCCGTTTACAATAAAACCACTTCAAATTAATACAGAATGATATCAATCAATACAACTGAGAAGTGTGTTAACGAGAACCTGCAGTACAAACTATTTTCAACGACTGACTGTGGAAAGCTGGTACACTCACTTGGAACAAACGCCTCTTAAAAGATGTCAACAATTACCAACACCTTACAAAAGACTTTATCCATGACATAAACGAAACGGACAAACGGACCTCTAACAGGCCAACTTAGTTTGACTAACAATATAGATGGGCCTCAAACAGGCCAATTTGACTGATGACACACTTTACATGAGTCTTACTGCCAGTACCATCATGGCTAAACTGACCAATCACTTTCAACGGACCAGACTTATAACACCATCGACTGGCAAACACTATTCACTTAACTCTGAGGATGACTTCTGCTCAGGTTGTCAAAACGTCAGTCACCAACAACAGTTCTGTTCAGAACTACCCTCACCCAGACAATCAATGATCACCAATACGAACTAAAGAACGTTTTGTAAGTTACACCTACGGTGAAACAAATTTAAACTTTTTTTGCGTTGCACATCGTAACCAAACAAACTTGTTGGATTAACCTCATCATAACTGTTAAGAGTCCAGTGAGTGCTGCTACCCCCACAGGCTTTTAATTCACAAAAAAAACTCCTATACGCCTTGCATGCCTATGTTTATATTAAGCTTGATTTAAGTGTTTTAATATGTTATTTATAGGTTTTTATATGTAGCTATAGTTTTTGGTGCAGAGTGCACTACTGGGATGGTTATGGGAGCTGCCTGCCGCTAAGGAACTAATGCAC